TTCTCACCCTCGCCAACACAAGTGACCCCATTGCCACAGTTAATGTGTTAATCCACCTCCCAGGATCTTCTCCTGTGCTTCCTTCCCTCTCTGCTTGCAAGCATGATGTCCTTCCCCATGTACTGATCTCTCCTGGCAACATGCGCAAAGTATGTCAGAATGGAGCTTCAAAATTCTTGCCTCCCAGGAGCAAACCAGTTTTAACCCTCTCCAGCACAGACCTGTTTTAATTTTATTCAGCCTCAATTTGAACTTGCATATGAGTGCTTGATGATCTGAACCACACTCTGCTCCTGGCCTAGTTTTGACTGCAGATATTGAGCTCCTCCAGTGATTTCTTCCACAAATGTCATCAACCTGATTCTTATACAGCCCATCAGGTGAGATCCATGTGTAAAGTCATTGTTTTGTGTCTTTTAAAAAACATATTTTCAATGAATAAATCACTGTACATACAAAATTCATTCTATTTCCAGCTTCATTTCTATCACCAAGCCCCTATTTTCCAACTACTATAACTTCTTCACTGTTTCCCACCTTTGAAATTCCAGTCAATCATTAATGCATCTTGATTGCATATTCAGTCAATTTTGGATTGCAAGATTTGGTGAAACTCAATTTCTTCCTTTTTGGCTCTAGATGTAGGAGTGTATATTTGAATAATAGTCGTGTTAATGGGTCTTCATTGTATGTGTATAGATATCCTGTCACCACCTTTTTCGTCAGGATAGAACTTGAAATTGACTTTTTGACTATAAACGCAACACTATTCTTTCTCTGTTTTTCATTCCCTGCAAAATATACCATATGATTATCTGATTCAAAATGGCCAAAGCTGGACCATCTCATCTCATTAATGCCTTGTATGTCCATATTCACACGTTACATTTCATTTTTAACAATTTCCAGTTTTCTAACATTTAAGCTATGTGCACTCTATGTTCCAGTTATTAAACAATGTTTGTTGCTATTTTTCCTCATTTCAACTGACTTCTGGTCTGAGATTTACCACTACACTATGTGGCACCAGGACTATTATTGCTGATATCAGATAGATCTTGGCTGAAAGTAAGGAATACCAGAAGAATGTGTACTTAGGCTTTCTTGATTATACAAAGACATTTGACTATGTGGATCATAACAAATTGTGCCTGACATTGAGAAAAATGGAAATCCCATAGCACTAAATTATGTTGATGTAGAACTTATACCTGGACCAGGAGGCTGTTGTGCAAACAGAACAGGGGAACACTGCATGGCTTAAAATTGAGAAGGGAGTGTGTCAGGGATGTATTCTCTCTCCATACCTCCATCCACTCTGTGTGCTGAGTAAGTTATCTGAGAAACTAGACTCTGTGAAGGAGAGGTGGTTTCAGGTTTGGAGGGAGGATCATCAATAATCTCTATTATGTAGATGATACAACTTTGCTTGCTGAAAGTGAGGAGGACTTGAAGTACTTGTTGCAGAAGATCAAGGAATGCGGCCTTCAGTATAGATTGCAACCTAATGTCAAGAAAACAAAGATTACCACTCCACCAATAGATAGAGTCATGATGGTTGGAGAGGAGGTTGAAACTATCAACAGCTTTACCTTGCTTGGATCCACAATTAACATCCATGGTACCAGCAGTCAGGAAAATAGAAGATGCATTGCACTGGGAAAATCTGCAGTTAGGAACCTCTCCAAATTGAGAAGTAATGATGTCACTTTGAGGACTAAGGTGCATCTGATTCAGGCTATAATCTTTCTGATTACTTGCTATGTGTCTGAGAGCTGGACAATGAATAAGGATGACAGAAGAAGAATTGACACCTTTGAGCTATGGTATTGAAGAAGAGTGCTGAACGTTCTGTGGACGGCCAAGAGAACAAACAGATATGACTTGGAGAGAGTGCAGCTTAAACGTTCTTTTGAGGTAGAACTGATGAGACTTTGCCTCACATACTTTGAGCATGTTGCCAGGAGGGGCTGTTTCTCTGGGGAAGGACATGATCCTGGGAATGGTGAACAGTTAGCAAAGGAGAGAAAGACCCTCAAGTAGGTGGATTGACACAGTGACTGCTGCAATGACCTCTTGTGTGCCAGGAAGTGTGAGTATGGTGCAGGATAGAAAAGGTTTCAGATCTTTTCTTCGTAGGGTCACTATGAGTCATACTTGACTCAATAGCACCTAATAGCAACAACAGTGCCAAGAGTGTTGATGGTAGATCCAAGTAAGATTAAATCATTAACAACTTCAAACCTTTGTTCATCTATCATGATACTGCCTATTGGTCCCCTGTTTTTAAACATACTCATTTCTTTTATCACAAAAGTAAAGAGTGAATTTATATGGTGTCATTGTTTGTTCAATTCTGTAACAAATTATATGCAAAAGCCCTTTGAGTCACTCAATAAAATATATCTGAGTTATTATGCTTTGTAACAAAGGAACCCAGTGTTCAAAGACCTTGTAAAAATACGCCTGTTTTGTTATTATGTGCCCTTGGGTAGACTCTGACTTACAGTGACTCTGTGTACAAGAGGTCACAAGCTTTCCCAATCCTGTACCATCTTCAGTCCCTTTTTGCTTAAATCAGGTATTGCACTTGCTGTGTCTGTCTTCTTGAGGGTCTTCCTCCCCTTTTCTAATCCTCTGCTTTTGGAAGCATGATGTCCTTTTCCCTCTTGATACAAGCTCAGCGTACCTGAGACAACATCTCATCCTTAGCTCTTTTTTTAAAATTAATTTTAATGAACATTTACAAAGATTTTGGATTTCCATTCCTTCATTGTTGCACTTTCCTCCCTGCCCACCTCTCCCCACCAAGTTCGCTCTTCTCTTTGAAAAGGAAAAGAAAAAATCCTTCATTGGTATATAATCCCCATGACACACACACCCTGCCCCTTCCCCAAGTACACTCCACTAGGCAACCTTCATTCTGGACTCTTGTGATAACCGTAATACCCTATCATATATTGCTTTTAAACTGTTCTCTCCCTCATCTGTTTCAATGCAGCATACATAATTTATCCAATTTTTCTCAATCTTACCCCAACCCTGATGTCAGTCCCTTCTACAACAGTGGCACTATGCAGTGTTTGTCCTTTTGTGACTGAGATAATTTCACTTATCATAATGTCCTCCAGGGTCACCCATTTTGAATAATACTGAATGAGTTCCTTGGTTTTCAATGCAGCGTAGTATTCCATTTTGTGAATATACCACAGCTTCTCTATTCTTTTGGTTGTTAATGGGCACTTAGGTTGTCTCCAACTCCTTGCTATTGTGAACAAAGCCGCAATAAACATGGGTGTGCAGATATCTACTTGGATGGCAGTTATGGTCTCCTTAGGGTATATTCCCAATAGCGGAATTGCTGAGTCAAATGGTATCTCTATTTGCAACTTTTTGAGAAAGCTCCATACCACTTTCCCTGTGGTTGTACCATTTTACACTTCCACCAGTGAATAAGGGTTCCAGTCTCTCCACAACCTCGCCAGCATTTGTTGCTTGTTGTTCTGTTAAATTTTGCTATTCTTACTGAGATAGGATGATATCTCATAGTTGTTTTGATTTGCATCTCTCTTAGAGCTAGGGATTTTGAACATTTCTTCATGTGCTTGTTGGCCATCTGAATGTCCTCTTTGGTGAAGTGTCTGTTCATATCCTGTGCCCATTTTTCCAATTGGATTATTTATCTTGTTGTGGTGCTCAAGTATTTTGTAAATTCTAAATATAAGTCCGTTATCTGACATGTCCTTACCAAATACTTTTTCCTAGTCTATAGCTTCTCTTTTCACCCTATTGGAGAAGTTTCTGGATGTGCATAGGGATTTGATTCTTAGAAGGTCCCATTCATCTATTATCTTCTCCTGGTTGTAGGTTTTTCAGGGTACTTTCAAGACTGTTATGTTGTGGATTAGGACTGCTAGAGTTCTTCCAGGCTTTTCTTTAGTGAAGTTTATAGTCCTTGGCTTTAGTCCTATGTCCATCCTTAACTCTTTTTTTTTTTAAATTTTATTATTTGAGTGTACCGTCAAATCATATCTGACTGGTACAGGAGGGGATTGTCCCTCCTTCCCCAGCAGAGCATCTGGTGGACTTGAACTGTGCATCCTTAACTCTTAAGGAGCATCCTGGTTGCTCTTGTTCTAAGATAAATTTGTTTTTTTGGCCGAAATAGTCAATACTTGTTGCCAACCTTGCAATTCAGAAGCATCAATTCTTCACTCTGCCTTATTCATTGTCAAACTTTCATATCATGTTGTTCTTGTTATGTTCTGTCAAATCGAAACCGACTCATAGCTGACCCTTCCGTTTTCAGAGTCATTAAATCATATAGGAGAGGATTGCCAGTTTTATTCCGTGGAGTAGCTAGTGGATTCACACTGCCTGCACAGCATAGCTCTTTACCAGGAGGCCACCAGAGAAAGCAATTAAAACTACTATGGCTTGGGACAAGCACACCTTAGTCTTTAAAGTGACATTTTTGTTCTTTATCATTTTTACTGTCTTGTTATTAAACATTTCACAAGGTAACAGCAGAATGTAAAATCTGATAGCTGGGCAGTTTTGATCTTTAATGATGTGTATGTTGAAATATAGAGCAGTGAGATACTAGATTATATTGGTTAAGGTAATTTATCACCGTATTTGTGCCATGGTTCTCAGGGGTGTAATTTGTGACATGATATTTATCATCTTCCATTTTTGCATAATCTAGTTTTTTCACAATGACCTGGGTTTTGGAATAGAATCCTGTTGATGGTGAGGAGTGGATGAGTACATGTGAAACAAATCTAGAAAAGGATATGCTTTAAGAAATACGCTTGTACTTGCAAATGACCTATTTCAGATTAGATGTTAGTCTGTTTTTCATATTCTTACCTGTCGTAATTAATTGTTATGATCCTTCATTTTTATTTCTACCATGTTTCTTAAGGTAAAAAATTTGATAAAGTTATACTTTAATATTTTCCAGTTGAAAATGAAGATGAGGCTGAAAGAATTCTTTTTTCCTATGGCTATGGTGCTAATGTCCCCACAACAGCCAGAAGACGATTAAAACAAAGGTAAAATATGAATATATATTTCTTTTACTTATCCACTCAAGTCAAATAGAATTATGCTATACTTTATGAGAATGTGCTGAGGTGAGTGACAAAGTGGGTTTTTTTAAATTCTTGGAATTATTGTTTTTGTAGGTGCTGTCGAGTACAATTCATAGCAATACTGTGAACAACAGATCTGAACCCTGTCCTGTCTTGTGTCATCTTCAGCATCTCTGGCATACTTGAGCCCATTGTTTCTATGAGTATGTCAGTCCATCTTGTTGAGGGTCTTCGACTATGTCAGTCCATCTTGTTGAGGGTCTTCCTCTCTTGGGTTGACCCTTTACCTTTCCATCATGATGTCCTTCACCACGAACTGGCCCTTCCAGACAAGGTGCCCAAAGTATGTAAGATGAAGTTTTTCCATCCCTGGCTCCAGGGTTTCAGTTTCTCCAAGATGTGTGTATGTTCTGTTGTTAGTCCATGGGATATTCAAGATTCTGTCATCACTACAGCTCAAAGGCATCAGTTCTCCTTCTATCATCATTAGT